AAAGTATTGGAACAACTTTCACATATAACAAACACAAAATTCATATTTGTATGTTATACTATAGTTAGCATGATTGCGCTTTATAGCAAACATAAATATGTATATTTCACTATACATATACAAAAGAAAGTGGTTAATAAAATTTCTAATTACCAAAAAAATAAATAAAGCAGTTGTATAATTTCGCTATACATATCAAAAGAAAACAGTTGTATACTCTATTTTGGTATACATATATAAAAGGTCAATTGTATAATGTGTGTTTGTATAAAACGAGAAAGAGAGAAAGATAACAGAAAATTGGGCAGAAAAAGAACGTATTTGTATAATCATAAGTGTATAGGATGAAACTATATACATTTGTATTTGCATATACAATTTTCTCTCGTTTTATACAAACACAAACACAATGTATACATTTTTATTTGTATAAAGTGGATAAGCGAGTGAGAGAGCGAGATCACAGAGAGGGAAGAGAGGGGAACAAATATATATGTATATAAACAAAATTTTGTCACTTTGTACAAACACAAACACATTTTATACATTTGCATTTTTGTATAAAGTGAGAGAGGCGAGTGAGCGAGTGAGATCTGGGAGAGTAGTGAACAAGGTCTGGGAGAGGGGAACAAAAATATATGCATATTTACAATTTTATCTCGCTTTATACAAACACAAACACATTTTATACATTTGCGTTTGTATAAAAAGCGAGAGAGGCGAGGGAGAGAACGAGACTGGAGAGCGAGATTCACCAGGAGAGAGGTGAAATAACAACAATTTTCTATGGGGTACAACTAAATCAAGGAAAAATTGTATATAATAGCAAACTAATAACCTAAAATAAATGGAATAGCTAGGTTTTGATTTAATTGTGCTCCATAGCAAACATTAGCTAAAATTTGCCAGCGTATCTCTCCCAAAAATCTCGCTCGCCACTCTCCATTCTCACTCGCCTCTCTCGCTTTATACGCAGAAGTGTATAATTCTGTTTCTGTTTTGTATAAAGCGAGAGAAAATTATATATACACATGCAAAAATGTATATCTTCGTGTTATACACTTAATTATAAAATTTACAAACATTTTATTCCAAATATTGCAGAGAAAAAGGCCAACGAATTATACAATTGCAGTGAAATACAATTTTCTCTAGCTTTATACAACAGAAGTGTATATATTGTGTTTCTGTTTTTGTATAAAGCGAGAAAAACATATATCTTCTTGCTATACACTTATAATTATGCAATATACATACATTTTAATTCGATTCAACTGTATGCATAGCAAATTATACAATTGCAGCGAAATAGGCCAGCGAATTATACAATTGTACATGTATAGCGAATTATACAGTTTTATGTTTGCTATGGAGCGCTATTATGCAAACTTTGCTATAGCATACAAATATGAATTTTTTGTTTGCTATATGTGAAAGTTGCCCTTAAATCAAACTGCATTTATAGCATTTAATTTTGAATTAATACTTTGTTATTAAATACAATTCTCCCAAAATATTATAAGTTGTATTTTTGGGCCCTTCTTTACGTTGGTTGTAGCCTTTGGGCCTTATAAGTGGTTGGGCTACAGCTTTAATGGGCTGCAAGCCCAGTACCCTTACATTCCTTTTATCCTTTTTGAAAGTTATTGCTCTACGAGTAGTAGTATGTTGGGAAAATTTCATAAGTAGCGCTATAAGCGCTATTAGTACTTATTTTGGCAAAACGCAGCGTAATATATTGTATCCATGCGTATATAATCTAGTACTAACCGATATACTATATCATTTTATTCTTTGTACATATATATATGTAGCCAAATGAAATATTATTCTGTTATTTTTAGAAATCGCGATAAAATAATTTGAAAAGGAGTCCTAATTCATCGTTTTCTCCAATTTGTTGTTATGTACTTATCATTATGTCTAATCTTGTTTCCATTTAGCTAATTTCTCATCAATTAACGAGATTATGAAATTCAAGGGTGATTATTACATGGAAAATATTTCCATCAATCAAGGTCACAATAAGACTTGCACAAGAAACAATAAATATCATTTGGAAAAATCTTTTTCATCGAAATTTGATAATATTTTACTTTTTAAAATATTTTATCCTCTTGATTTTAATATCTTTTGTCTAAAATATATATAAAAAAAGATCAGATTATTGTAAAATAAAAAAATATTAAAGTTTTTTTAAATTTTTTGATCAAATTTTCTGATTATTTAGCACTTGATAAAAATGTTATATATTTCAAAGCATTTAGCACTTGTACAAATTTTCTGGCCCATGCGTTTGGTAGAAATGTTGCATTTTTACACTAATCTTTTTTACAATATTTAATAGAATAAAGTTCATAATCAGTTTGATACTATTTGATTCGATACGTTTTAAGCAAACAATTTAGATATTTAAAGATTATATAAAAAGTATGATAAATTTCAATTTTTTACATATCCATATGATGAAAATATACATCGTAAAATATTAGTCAAAGTTCTTATTGTTTAATTCTGGAAAGGAATTTATGACAAATAAAAGTAGACGAAAAAAATAATTTATTAACATAAAAAAGATCAACGATTTTGCAAATCTGCCCGACTTAATGTCTTTGCCCGTCTACAAGTCAATTTTTACATTTTTTTTCTTGTCAAGCACAAAAAAAAGGCTATTGAACTTTGATAATCGCAAATATTTGATTTGTAATAAAATGATATATATGAGTATTTTTTTTTATAAAACTCGAAATTTCTGATTAAACGGAGAGAATGGTGATTGATTTTAGCTCATCCTTGCCTTGGTTATGTATTGAAAGGACATTATAGTTGGATATTTTTCCATAGTGACAAAAATAGAGAGACAATGACAAATAAGAAAGCTAAACAAAACAATATCAAGTGTTATATCCTAAGTTGAACCCTATAAAGGAGACCAATTGATTGTGAGTATTCATCTACTTTTTCCCACTCATAAAAATATGTTTTCCATTGTATAAATAACACTGACATGATGTTTACTTGATATAAATTTTGTCATTTCATTAGTCAAACCATAATTATTTTTTTTGTTAAAATAATAAAAAGTAGTGTGCCAATGAATAGAGGAAAGAAAAACAAAAAGGTGTTAAAAATCATTTACAACCACAACAATAGTATAATAGGATTATTTTTTTTTTAAAAAAAGAGAGTGTATATTAACGTTATTTTTATTTTTGTCGAGTAGAAAAATTATTTTTAATAGACTATTGATTTAAAATTTTTACCAACTATTCAAATTATTTCCTTGAATATCTATCATTGTTATCTAGCTTGATCATTAATCTAAATTTATGTTGTGTAAAATTTATTCAAAAAAAAAGTATTTTTTTGTTGAAAATTTGTTCATTTCAAAACTACAGATCTCGAATATCACGAATAGTTACATACATTTGGAAGTTGGTTCATTTGTTGTTTTAAATATATGTACGATAAAGATTTAATTGATACGATTATAACAATTGACATAACACGATACAATCGTCTTTTAGAAATAGTCTATTTTGTTCTATTTATTATAATCGATTGATTAGTTGTCCATTTAATTTTTCCTATAGCAAAGTCAAAATATTCTACGTGTTTGACAATAAATTGTAAAGTTATAAACTTAAATTGAACAAAGAAACAGAAAAAAAGAGAGACAAAATTGAGATAAATAGATATAACCTTTTTAGTCCGTAAGACAAACTTTTGATTCAGCCTAACAAACGTGAACATATTATATTGAAATCAAATGATCCCAATTATAAAGTGAACAATAAAAGTAAAAAAATAAAAAAAGTGAATAGAAATTGTGGTATAGTAGCAAGACTATATTATTTTTAATCAAAAATTTGAATTTAAATTTTGAATATGAAAATTATATTAATAATATCATTTTTAAATAAGACATACGGTGTAATATTTAATCAAATTTTTAATATAACTCAAAATATCGAATGGAAGAAAAAAAAAGTAAATTATCCTTCCATAATTGAAGAAAACCACACATCAACACACGTGTTGGAGATAATTGGAAGTGAATTATTTGGTTCATATAATCATGTTGCTATATTTGTTTGTATCAAAATCCATGGCACTATCATTATATTTAGAATTCAGAGTTCGGAGTCTAAAGGGTAAAAAATTTTAATAAAAATTTTAAAATAGTATATAAAAATTTTTAAAATCAAAACTGTAAAATTGCTCACTAAATAGCGATTTTTTTAACCAAGAAATTTTATATACCATTTTAAAATTTTTATTAACATTTTTTACCCTTTTATGCTCCGAACTCATCATATCTTAATGGAGTAATCATATATGTTTCTCCTTTTTGCAAGAAATTAATTACTTTATCTCCTTCACTTTCCTTATTAAATTATAATTGGAGTCTTCTAGTTTTCTTAATCCTTCTAAACAAGTTATTAGTAGTTAATTATATTTGGATGTGTAATTGTTTTGATGGTGAAAGGAGATTGTTGTGGTAATCACTAGAAGGCTCTTGTTTAGGTATATGTTCTTGTAAATCTTTTTTTCACAAAATAATTGCATAAACAAATTGACTATAGTTGATACCACCTCTATTTTTTGTGTTCTATTTGAGTTATCTCTTTTTTTTTTTTTGCCTTTTTCAAATGACATTATATCTTTTGATCGTAATAATTAATTCTATCTTAATAAAATTAACTTAAATAACTGTCCACTAAAAATATAATCGACATATATATAATATTAATCCGTGATTATAAATATTTCTGATCGAGCAATTTAGTAGCTTCTCCCAAGAACAATAAATCAACAAGGAAATTCACCATCGACCAAGTTAGATGCCAAAATTAGATAAAACACACCAAACTAATCTCTTTCCTAGTTTTACTTCATTGGTATAATCTTGTGGAAAAAAGTTCAACTCTACCTTATCTTATAAAAAAAAATAAAAATAGACTAGATCAAAATGAAAAGAAAATACAACTCACACAACAAAATCTAAATAAAAATAAGATTCATAAAACTCTTATAGTAAAAAGAGAGTACCAAAGTTTTACTTCATCATCTTTCACTTCAACAAAACTAGAAAAACATAATCTATACATATATAGTTCACACCCCACCCTCCTCCATATCTTTAGTTTGTTTCCCTCGTACCCTCATAGTACATTAAAACAAACCAAAAATACATCATAAAAAAAACTAACTTCTTATGTCTTCATAAGAACTTATGATCACATACTTCAAACTCGAACATAATAGGTACTCAGTGAAATAGTCGAGAGAGCACAAGTTGACCAGGACGCCACAGTTTAAACCCTAAGCAAGTAAAGGCTAAGTTCAGGACCACCATGACCATCAGGATTCATCATGTAGAAAGCCTCAGAATCTTTTGATCCAACAACTCTTTCAAATTTAGCCCTCATATACATCAATTCACCTTCTAACCCAATTCCATCACCATCACTTGGTAAAACTCCAGCACCCATTGAAACAGGCCCAATTGAGTTCAAAATCTTCCATTCATCAGGCCCACATTCTCTTTTCATTGCATAGCCACATTTTCTACCATTACAATATGTCCTCCAATTTGGCTCTTCTAGCAATTTCACCCCTTTTTTACCTGTCCTCTTATCTGATTCTAATGCAATTCTAACCAATCCTGAAGCCATTTCTCTAACTAAATGACTTGTAGGAGTGGCCATTTCTACAAAGAATGCTGGGCCTAACTTTGGATCTTCTTGAAATGCAAAATGAACATGTCCTCTTCTATAACCAAATAAAGTACCAATAACTTTAGTACCAAGCCCTATTTGTGTTCGGCTCTTACCAAAAGTAAGAGCCGAACGAAGCTTAGAAACTGTCGAACGCGACAGTTTCTTGCTTACTGTGGATGCATTCGTCGCTGTACCTGACAGCGAATGCATCCCAAAATACTCTTCCTCGCTACCTCTAAGCGAGGAAGAGTGGAAAGTGTTCAAGTAAACTTCATCATCGTACTCTTCATCTTCAACTTTTTTCTTGAAATTGAAGTACCTTCTTGAAAATGAGAAGGACTCATGTTGGTTCTTAGACATTATTGTTCTCATTTGAAGTGAAACAAAAAAAAGAGAAGTTGAGGAAGTTAGGAAAATATGAGTGAGTTGTTTTTGACTCTTTTATGTTTTTTTGGGGACTAATATTGAGGGTTTTATGGGGTTTGAAAGTGGTATAAATAAATAAATAATTTTTTTTGAATCAATTTGTTGGACTTTTGGGAAATGAAAGAATTTTAGTAGCAGAGAGAATCCTGACAAAAGAAGGTGAGCAGCCCTACCTAACTGTATCAACAATGTGAAATTGGGAAAAGATAAATAGTAATGGTGGAATATAAAGATTGAAGAGAGAAAATGATTTATTTCGGTCGTTTTAATTTGTTTGTCATATTCTGAATTAATATGGAACTTAAAAAGAAAAAGATTAAGAGTGTTATAATAAACTAAAAATATGTCATATGTATTACTATATAGATATTATTTAATCTTGTATTTTTAAATATATTATATGTCATGTGAAAATTGAAATTAAACTGTTATTAAAAAAAAAGAGATATTCTTTTAATAGTGACTAAAAAAGAAAGTATGACAAATAATTAAATCTAAGGGAGTATTATAAGTCAAGATTTTTTGACTCTTTTCATTTGATTTATTTTGAAGCTCAACCAACCTAAATTCGTATAGCACAGAACTATTTCGATGTTCTTTCTTTGTACCAAAAAAATTACGTAGATTCAAAAACCCTAGAAGAAGTATTATATGTTGCACTACATCTTGATGGTGTTATCCATTTTATTTTACTAATACAATGTTGTAAGTTGTATTTAAATTAGTCTGTATACATCTGTTCGATTTTGAACGATCCTAGCTGCTTGGAAACTCACAAGGGAATTTGCTTACTAGAACACTTCATTAGTTAGTCTAATTCTTAAACTTAATGGTGTCCTAAAAGCGGCTATTAAATATTTTCTTTAGTTAAAAGGATTTTTGAGGTTTTAAATTAATTTTTTTTTTAATATTATGAAAGCTTAGTATATCAAATTTTAACAAGTGACATATACATCGAAAACAACTAAAGGACAGGTGAAAGGTTAACACCAAACACACCCACTAGGGACTTTTGCAAGTCAAGATTCAGTAATTAAAATTCAAAGATTAGAAAAGGAAAACTCAAAAAATGTTTGCACATCAATCTATGAAATTATATAGGGACCATTTAGCCACCATTGTGTTGTGTAATTTTCTTTGCTTTAATTTTATCAGAATTATTAAATTATTTCAATTTTATTCTATGCCCATGTACTGTGTACTAATATGCAGATACAGAAGCAGTAGGCGTGGCCTAGGAGCCACAATATAGTACTATTAAATTTACAATAGATACTAAAAGAAATGCGAAAATTTTTTCGGAAATTAGTATGAAAATTTATAAAAAAATAAGTTTTCCTGTAATTTTTCAGTTTTTTTTTACTGTGAGAGTAATATAAATATTTCAAGGTTTATTTCAAACTATAAATTTCAAAAGATATATATATTTTTTTAAAAAAAGTGTTTTCTTATATCGAATCAAACAATATTACAAAAGGAATCCCTTACATAAATTAGGGAAAAATGTTAGAAATATATTTGAACTTTGATCAAAATTGTTGTTACGATACCAAACTATAGAAGGAAAATTTTACCACTCGGCACTATTTGAGTAGTTAACTTTAAAGGTATATATGTGCACACGTGGACATTATAAATATTGCTTCATTATAAATAGTAATGTGTCCACATGGCACATATATATCTTTAAGTTAAACTATTAAATAGTGTAAGTAAAATGTCTTCCATAAAGTTTGGTATCGCAATAACCAATTCGATCAAATTGAAGTATTTTTCAGATTATTTCCCCCATAAATTAAAACATAAAAGAGCACTATTATGGAGACTGTGTCATTCTTAATCAGAAGTCTTAGATTCAAACTCTGAATATGAAAAAAACTCCTATATTATGTGATATAAATTTAATCGAAGCTCTAATGTAAACTCTAAACGTGAGATTGAAAAAGAAGCACTAATATGGTAGGTATATTATAGAGTGTGAAATTGCCACATTACAAAACAAGTTTAGCCATTAATAAGGTGAAACAATAGTGTCAGCAATGTTGTCAAAAAGAAGCTAACAATGTCAAAAAGTGTTGAAGTAATCATGCTTTGTTAACATTGAGCCAATAAAATCTTGGTAATGGCTTATCAATTAGAGATTATGGTAGACAGTTCATAATGGTTAATACAAAGTCCTCCCTATTGTTGAAAATTATAAATAATATATAAATATAACCTATGGTTCAAAAGTCAATAAGATTCTTCATTATTTTTCCTCCACCGACTGTTTAATTTGCACCACATGTGAGGTAGCCTGTAAATAAACATATATATTAGGGTCAAAAACTTTGTTGAATTTCTACTTACACCACTAATAAATCAACAAGTGATTTAGTTATAATGTTTATTTTAAAAATATATATATATAACGATGGTGTTCATATTAACTTGTGCGTATTTTAACTCGATCTACAAAGTTTTTACTATTTTTCATCCATATAGACATCGACTGAACTGAAGCAGAGATTTGAACTTTCACAAGTAAAAGAACAAGAATTAGCGATAAAAAATTTTACGTGGCTAAACGAATCAAGTCGTTAATTCTATTTATTAAAAAAATTGTCATATTAGGCACAAAAATATACTCCCTCTGTCCCTATTTACTTGTTCATATTTCCTCTTTTAGTTGTTCCTATTTACTTGTCAATTTTGACAAATCAAGAAAGGACAAAAAAAAATTTCCTATTATATCCTCAATTATACTTCTTGAAAATTTCAAGTTTTAATTCATCATTTTTGAAACGATAATTAATAATGGTAAAATTATAACTTCATTATGCTAATTATTGCTATCGTAATATGTGTGTCATTTCTGAAGTGAACAACTAAATAGGGACAGAGAGAATAGTTCGATTGAACCCATATGTCGGCTTTTACCTCCACTTTTTGTACCGTATAACTCTGTCTGTCAAAATTTGAACATACAAAAATAAATTACTAGTGGTTTTTAAAATAAATTTATTATTAGGGGGAGAGGGTTGTGATTATGATTTATGGTACCTAAATGTCACGGACCAACTAATTTTCAACTACAATCAACAACTAGGAGATTAATTAAGGGCAAAAGTATATATTATGTTGAATAAGCTAGACATGTCAAAATCAAAACCTAAAACCAAAGAGCTTAAAATCCAATTAACAATCTGAAAACATCTTATAATTGATTAATAGTTAGGTGATGAGTAAGCATGATATTGCCTTATATGAAGGATTAATTAAGAACTAATATAACAACTTTTTAACATTATTAACCTACCATCCCCTTGATGATGTACAGACTAATATTTTGATCCTAATTGGAAAAATTACAATATGTTGCAAATATTTAGATTGTGTTTATGATATATAATTAGAATTTCAAAAAAAAATGATACGTAGTAATATTTTGAGTTTTGTAGTAAAAATGTAATACATATTTGCACCGATACCATGTTAATACAACTCTTCACACATTTTCAGCCGATACATCTCTTTTGTTGATACAATTGATAATTGTTGCTTGAATACAACTCTTTCGCTGATACAATTAATACAAGTCTGATATTGCTCTTTGTAACGACCTGTTTAGTCGTTTTGAACAGCAGATTTTATTTCTGGAAAAACAGGCTGAGGCGACGGACCCCACGACGGACCGTCATGGGCACGATGGACCGTCGCAGGGTCTCGTTTCAAAACACTTAGAAAATCTGAAATTGGGTACTGAAAATCGACTCTCTGAACTTCGTAACAGAATGACAGGATGGACCGTCACAGGTGTGACGGACCGTCACAGACTCTTCAGAGAAATTGAGTCTCTGAATCTTGCGACGACCTGCAGGACGGACCGTCGCAGGCACGACGGGCCGTCGCAGGCACGACGGGCCGTCGCAGGTTGCGT